CGGCGGCCAGCGCCGAGGCGGAGGCCGAGGGGCACCGTGCACAGGTCGCCGCGGAGAGGCGTGCGAATTTCGAGTCGAGCCCCGAGGACTCTGCTGCCCTGGCCGGGCCGCCCGCCACAGGCTCCTCTCGGGCAGCAACGGCTGCGCGGCGACCCCGTCTCTCCGCCTCTCTTTGCCATCCCACCTCCCGCAGCCTCTCTCCTCCGCGTAGCACGCCCGGCCCGGCCCGGCCGTGGCCCTCCTCGGTGCCGTCCGCCATGGCAGAGGCGTCCGGCGCGGAGAAAATCTAGCCCGGGGATTTCATGCGGCCTAGCTTGGTTCCGTCTCGTCCCCCCGCCGTCTCGGCGGCTGCCCGCACCCCAGCCCCACTCCGGGCCTCCGTGTCTCTCCTGTGATCGTACTGACACGGCCGGGGGGTTAGAATGGAACAAACTGAAGGTAAAGTGTGCGTGTGTGTATCGCAAGGAAGAGCCGAGGAGGGAACGACACAGCGATGGGGAGCGAGCGGGTAGGGACAGACACCCTAGCAGGAATGGGAGGAGAACCGGGTGGCCTGAAAGCGTTGGAGGGGAGTCTCGAAGGAGGAGCAGATGGCAAGGCGGGGGGTGTGGAGGGAATTGGGGGGTGGGGCAGGGGAGCTGGGATTGGGATCAGAGATGGAGCGGCGTTGAGCAGGGAATTGGGAGTAGAGGTGGGATGGGGGCGGGAATAAAGATGGGAACGGGGGAGGGTCAGGGGAAGGAGAAGAGTTAGATTTGGAGAAGATTAGGGACCTAAGTGGACTTAAAATAGGAAGGTTTGGGGGTGGAATGTGGGAACTAGAAGAAACTGGGGAACGGGGTAGAATTTGATGGAGAAATAGGGCATCTTATGGGAGTCAAGGGAGAAAGGAGGGAATGGAAGCGAAGGAAAGCATAGATTAGGAAAAGGGCTGAGAAATGATAAAGGCAGGATGCAGTAGGAGGATAGGAAATAGACGCAGGAAACGGGAAGATGTAGGACTGGGTTAGGTAAGGAAATTCACTGAATGTTGGAAGGGATGAGAACGATCGACCGATCAGCACAGTGGGAGGAAAAGAAGGGCATGGGGGCTAAAGTATTAGGAAGGGAAAGCCTTTTGTTCCTATATTTGTTTGTGCTCTGTGTCTTTCCTTTCAAGGCCAGAGAATAGAGAAGCTAGTGGTTTGGGGATGTGATTGTTGTGAAATGGGGAGGTGTGGGTTTTACTGTTTTGAGGGAGGAGGAGATGTGTTTGTGTTTTGGTAGGAAGACAGGGAGAGACATGGCCATAATTTGATGGTTTTGGTGAGGGAGTGAAGACTATTCAGATTTAAAGGGGGCAGGGGCAGCCATGTTTGCTGCCAGGCACTGCAGTGTAAATAAATTCTTTTTCCTCTCCGACATCATATGAATCTGGAAGGGGCCAGTTCAGATTGTTAACCCCCTTTCTTTCTATTCATGAGCTCTTTTCCCTTATCTTAGGTCATTTAAAATTATTCATAACCACCAGAAGAGGTAATGATGTTTTCCATCTTGTGTGTTTTGCTGCTTTTCCTCTCTTTTCCCTCTTCCTTCTGGTTGCAAACAAGACATGCTGATAAACTGCAGTGTAAAATTTGGCTCTTTTTATCAATTTAAAACTAGATTTTTACTAGCTGAAGGAATCATTACTACTATCATAATTCAAACATGATCGTGACAAGTCTTAAATATCTAACATTCATTTGTTTCAGAAGCCTCAGAGGCAGTCAACATGTTTTCTGCAATTCTTTAAGTAAACAAGGAAATTGCATCGCTTATTTTACTTGGGCCTGTGTTCTTGGCAAAGCACTGTGTGGGAGTGGGAAGGGGTAGGAAGATCTGCCTGTGGTAGATATCTGCTTGCTGTATTTTGAATGTTGGAAAATTAGAAATGTGTGTATTTTTTATTGGTGTTTCTGGTGGCTCTTATAGAAGATGGGTGTGTTAAGAATATTGTTTTCTTTTGCTTTATAAACTCTCTTTTCCCCATCTCTTCCCTTTGCTTTCATGAGCTAGCTCAGTACAGTCTCCAAATGCCAGTTCAGCACAGTGCAATGATCTATGAAGTATGCATGCAGTTCTTAGAGCCTCATTGAGGTGCCAGTTTTTTTGGGTGGGAAGTTCAGATCACTCAGGAAAGCTACAGTAACTTTTTAATGTATTCTAATGTAACTATTTGTGCGATTTGACATAGTTACTATGCTAAAGGTTTAAGTCCTGACAAATTTACAGGAGATAAATTGGTATTAAGTGGAGCCTATCTTATTTTCATATTGAAAAGGATTAAATGTGTGTGGCCTTTTGTTTTTGTTTTATAATTGTAATTGGGCCAATCCTAACTTTAATCCATCCTATTAATATTGAAACTGTCTTCTAATACCAGGAAGGCCTGTTAAAATTGTAATATGATGGAATGAAACCAGTTCTACTACATATTGATTTAATCTACCTTAATGGCAACATCCTCTCAGTTTATTATATAGAAACATAGGATGTGTTTTGGTTTGTTGGAAAAATTAAATTGAGTTTTGTTAGAGTGGTACTGTATGAAAATGCTTTTAATAAAGGCCAGATGTACAGCTTGGAGTATTTTGATTTGATAATATTCAGACTGAATTTTTTTGAAATTCTGTGAGGAAAAGTTTCATTCAAAAAAGCGATTCAGCGTGCTTTTCTGGAATTTATTTTTCTGGTGATTTCATTTTTATATCTCCCACTCAATTGATGTATTTGTAATTAATTGGTAAATTATGTACATGAACTATTAGTGCCACACATTTTTAGGAAAATGAACAATCATTGTATATTAAAATTTAAAAAATCATGTTGTAAGCTTGAATTGCTTTTTTAAAAAGTGTATTCTTATGTATTCAGCATTCTGTAAAGATCAGGGTCCCCTGCCCAGCTGTCATGAGTATTTTGGTTCATTGGACAGTTATCCATATAATGAAGAAGGCTACTTTAACACTTAAAACCCAAATTTTGCTCTGATTATCATGTTCATAGCCCACCTGCTACCTGTGATAGCTTTTTTTTTTTAACCTTAAACTAACAAATGCTCTCTTTTATACTGATCAAGAAGAAAATGGTTTACCATGGATGCTCGTTCATTGGGTTCTTTTTTTTTTTTTTTTTTTTGGTCA